GGCCTGTTCCCACGACAGCCTCAGCAGGAGCTGCAGCGGCAGGCCCTGGCTCACTTCGGCATTGGCAAGAGCAGCCTCCTGGACTGCCCCGCCCTGCAGCTGCAGGCAATCAGGAGGCAGGCCGAGTAGTACATAGGGAGTTCCCATGCACTTCACGGGTAGGTAGAAGGCAGGAGGCAGTCTTCAGGATTCGGCAGCAGCACTCTGGAGGAGCGTTGCAGGAGTAGCGTTAGCGCTAACAGTAGTCTTCAGCGCTGGGCGCTAGTAGCTGCAGGAGTAGTCTTCAGCGCAGAGCGCTAGTAACAGTAGTAGTAGTAGTGTTGGAGAGAGATGGCTGGCGGAGGCCAGTGAGACTTACCTGTGGCGCCATAGCTCCAGCTCCATCTTCGAGGTACCTGCATCAAGGCACCAGCTTCACAGGTTAGTACCGGACAGAGAGAAAGAGAGAGTTCTTCTTCTTCCTCTTCTAAGTCTACCATCTCTTCTGCGGACTACGAGCGAGAGAGAGAGAGAGAGTTGTGACTTCTTGACGACATTGGATCCAGACTCGACATTGGGATTCAGACATTTGACGAGGGACTATTTGGGCCTGTGCCGAAGACTTGGTGTTGACGAAATTCCCATCTTCCCCTCTTCTTCGTCTAAAACCCCAACCCCCTCTTCTTCGTCTGTGTATGGTTGGGGGCTGGCACATTCTTCCTGTGTGAGCGCCAGGCCCCTTCACACCATGAAATGATAATGATGTATGTTGGGGCTGCATTGCAACATTGATTGTTCGGATCATTGGTATATAAGTCTTCCGCTACGCTATCTTGTACTTTGTGAGAGAGGTCGGTTCTTGTTCTGGTCTGCACCTTCACGGTATGCGACAGTTTGGTATCGGAGCGGACCTCTCAATCAGAGGACCCGCTCAATCAAGTAGCCAGCTTGCTTGATCTATTGATTACTCATTAGTAAATCAAGTAGGACTTCGTCAAATCTCTGAAAAAAAAAATTCTCGCAACAAATATCTGAAAATTTCTGATAATCGCATTTCGTCTTACCTGAAAATTTCTGATAGTATTTCGTTTTCACGCAACAAATATCTGAAAATTTCTGATAATCGCGTTTCGTTTTATCTGAAAATTCCTGATAATAGCATTTCGTTCTACCTGAAAATTTCCGATATTAGCATTTCGTTTTCACGCAACAAATATCCGAAATTTTCTGAAAGTAGCATTTCGTTTCTCTGATATCCGCATACATAGCCGAAAATTTCTGATGTTAGCATTTTGTTTTCTAGGCACATTAGGATAACGATAGAGGTGGTCATATTCTCGGAAACCGGATTTATTCTTTTCTGAAAATCGAATCTCCATTCTATCTCACAATTTTTTTTTGAAAACCGAAGTCTTGCAAAGCCTACCAGCATTGCGTTTTAGACATATTAGGAGGTCGTCATATTCTCAGAAACTGGATTTAGTTCTTTTCTGAAAATCGCATCTCTACTCTATTTCGCAAAAAAAAAAATCAAGATCGCAATTTTGTGAAAGCCGAAACTTCGCGGCACCTGGCCTAGATCTCGCTCATAGTACTCTTCTGACATACC